GAGGATGCACGCATGTGACAATGTACACTAGACGCGTGCACTAACTTGTGACTGAACAGGCAAATGCACATTCACATCTTTGAAAGCTCACAACTTGAAGGCTCGTCTGTAGGGACTTATGATATTTAACCTAGAGAATTTTTTATTTATCCATCCAACCATCTATCTATCTACCCACCTACCCATCTATCATCTATCTATTTATTTTGAATTGGAGTTTCACTCTGTCACCCAGGCTGGAGTGCGGTGGCACACTCACAGCCACCCCAGCATTGACCTGCTGGGCTCTGGTGATCCGCCTCAGCTTTTCAAGTAGCCGGAACTACAGGCACGCGCTACCACACCCAGCTAATTTTTGATTTATTGTGGAGATGAGGTCTCGCCAAGTTCCCCGGGTTGGTCTGGAGCCCACGGGCTCAGGCAATCCACTTATCTTGGTTTCCCAAAGTGCTGGGATTAAAGTCTGAGCCACCAAGTCTGGCCAAAAATTTTTATTTAAAAGACCCAGATACACCCTCCAGATTCTGGCCAAGGCATCTGCATGCATCTAGGATTGATTCTATTGGGCAAAGGTTGAGAGTCATTACACCGAGCTGGGGGGGAAAAAGCCTACAACAGTCTACTTTCCTCAGTTTAAGCAAAATACTGGGAAGAAAGAAACAAACCCTATGGCCATCTGCACCTACCCTTCTTCTGCCCTCCTCTCCTGCCCCATGCATAATCATTTCTTTCCAACCACCTTAGGGGCTGCTTTCTTTTGTGGGATGGGGGGGGGTCTCATTATGTTGCTCAGGTTGGACTTGAACTCCTGGGCTCAAGTAGTCCTCCCACCTGAGCCTCCCAATTATCTGGGACTATAGGCACCAGCCCCCACACCTGTCTCCAGACATTTTAAGGGCTAATTCTTGTCACTATTCTCCACTGCTCAGAATTGGTGAGACCTCCCTGTTCCTGCTTCACCTACCCTCATATGGTTTGCTCACACTGACACCAACAAACACTTGTTAATCCCTACCTACCTCCTTCCAAAAATACCTAGAAATTACTGTTCTGTTGATGGTAGTATTACCTGTTTTTGGTATTGCTGTATTTAGTGTTGCTAAATCTAGGGTTGTTTTTTTATTTTAGTCACTTTAATGAAATTTTGTAAGAAGGAAAGAAGTCTGTTGCACCATTTTCAAATCTTTCTTTTTTCTACTGTCATTCAGGCTTATTACAAATGGCAAGTAGAAGCTTTGCAAGAGTAAAAACTGAATGTGAGGGGACAGCTTTAGGAAAACATCATGAATTATTTAGGTCTAATGAATATTTGATGCTAAGTTTCCATAACCTCAGATATTATTAACATCCAAATTAAGAGAACATTTCAATACTTTTAATAATTCTCCATTACCACCACCTAAATATTGCCTTATTTATATTGCCAGGCAATAAATTCCATCTTGGAAAAACTATTGGCATCTCTTAAGTATCCACTGCCACTAAAATTCCTCTTCACCTTAGTTACACTACTGATGACTTGTTCTGACTGGTGACTAAGGAAAAATGTCCAGAAATAAGAAGAGTGGTAATACTTCAATAATTAATAAACAAATCTGAACCCCTTCTCTCATCACTTAACCCTACCCAACATTTAAAGCAGAAAAGTGACTTAAATAGAACCTCATAGATGAGTATAACCACATCTGTCCTTTTTAAAAATATGAGGGCTAGCAGTTGGCAATCTATAAAATAAAAGTTTGCGCCATCCAAACAATGTACTGCCTTCCCTCTTCCCTCACTGATTTGTGTGTGCGTGTGTGTGTGTGTGTGTAAGGGGCAACAAAATGGAATACATTTTAAACTACTACAGGTAAAAAAGAATAAATTATTTTTCTACATATCACATACGTAAATCAGAAACCAATATATAAATGACATTAGGATGATTTTTTAAATGTTTAAAATTATTGTTTAGGGTCAATTTTAAGTATTAAGCTCCTTTGCCAGTATAAGGTTTTGAAATGTACTAAAGCATGATTGTGTATTTTACATATCTTACATCAAAGATAATCAGTGGTTTAAACAATTACCAAAAGTGCTTTATTTGTGAACAATGTGAGAGACAGATGACACTAGCTTTGAATAGTTTTACTTTGTTTGGAAAATTTTACAAATTTAAAGTATTACATTCATTTTTTTTTCTTTCCAGAAGTTCAGCTTTAAAAAGAATATTATATGAACATATAATCAGCAACAACAAAAAAGTTCAAAACACACAATGTGCTTGTAACATTTTCAGATTTGTCTATGATAGTCTGGTGTTACAAAAGAAGGCAGAGTGGCTGTAAGGGTGAGAAAGAGGAAGAGAATATTCCTATAGTAAATGTTGAAGAAATTAAGAGAAATAATGGATGCTAAAAGTTTCCTGCTGTTTTAGCACAACCTGGTGGTGATAAATTTTAGGCACGGCAAATGTCACAAAAATCCATAAAATGTTCTAACTAGTTTAAATCTACTTGTAGTACGGTAATATAATATTTTTTCAACTCAGAAATCTAAATGTACATTCAGAGCAATTGGAAAAGAAAAAGTCTTATTTTTAAAAATGGCATTGCCAAAACAGAAGTTAGCTAAAAGCAGTAACAAAATTATGTAATTAAGTAGGCTGAATTTGTACACAATATTCTTTGACCAAACATCAGAAACATCTCATCAAATTATTTTTTAAAAATCTAATATTGGTATTCCAAAGACCAAAAGTATAAAACTTCTATATGACTGTTAATGACAGCATAAACTCTGCTGTTTCGCCTCATCATTTTTTCCTTTTTTTTTCCCTTTTGTGAATCAAGTCTCACTTTGCCACCAGGCTGAAATACAGTAGTACAATCATGGCTCACTGCAGCCTCGACCTCCTGAGGCTCAGGCGATCCTTCCACCTCAATCTCCTGAGTAGCTGGGACTATAGGCATGTGCCACCATGCCCAGCTAATTTTTAAAATTTTAGGGATAAGGTCTTGCTGTGTTTCCCATACTAGTCTTGAATCTTATGGACCCAAGCAATTCTCCTACCTCAGCCTCCCTAGGTGCTAGAATTATAGGCAAGTCCTCGCACCAGGCCCAGCATCTTTCTTTCTAATACTCATCTTTAGCTCCTACAGCAACTATTTTATTGGGTCAAATTAAGAAAAGGCTATGAGTGGTCACTAGTTACCGATGTTGTTTTTAATCTTTATAACGAAGAAAACATATGTACACTGCTATAGATGAATGAATGGCATTTGGCATGTGAGTCTTCCATGCACTTCCATCCATGGTTTTCACCTTATTAAGACAGTTTATTAAGAAAGGCTTGGTGGCAGTAGTGGGAAACCGCTGGCAGGGGGGAGGTGGAATTGGCAGTAGTGGGAATCTGCCAGGGGAGGGGAGGGCACAGCTCATCAAGAGTACCTGCATAATGAATCTTTGTATACCTAACCCTGAATTGTACTCCACATCTTTAAAATAAAAAAAATTTTAAGAAGAAAGGCTTGGACCCAGTGTTTATTCTGGGTGTTGGAACAGTCCTGGAAACCAGATTATCCTATTATTTAAAATATCAACGACATTATTTTAGAAACAAAGGAAGCCAAATAAAATTTGATACTACCATAAAATGGTTTTGCTCTAGCTCTTTTCACTGTTTTACCCCTTTGCCCCCTATATTAAGTTGTAAGTATTTGAGACCTACTCAACACTGAACTTTCCAATATATTTGGAAAGGTATGATTTGTTAAGTATAAAACAGTACAGATAATTAATGCTCAAAGAGCTCAGAGGAATTTCCCTTCAGGGTAACTACAAAGATGCTTTTTATGCTACATTTGTCCAATAGATGCTTACATAATTCCTCTATCTCACTCATTAAATAGTACTCATTACAAACATTACTATGTGCTCCCTGAGCTCATCTGAAGCACAGAACACAGTCATTGATTTGAGTTTCGATTTTTCTCTATTCTCCTAAGGAGTGTACATAATTAGCACATCTTAGATGCCAAGCAGAATCAGGGCATGGGGCATTCTCTCTGAAAACCAAATTGAGAAAGCCTGTGATAAGACACTAGCACACCTCTTCCTCCTAACCACAAACTACTTTATCGATTTCACTAACAGCAGACTTTGTCCTGTTATTCATACTCACAGAAAAAAGTTGTTTGAAAATACCCAACTTTATGTATTTCAACTCATATTTTCTCTTAAGCTATTATTTTTCTCTTCAGTTCTATCTTTGTCAAGCTCAGTATGTAACAAGTCATCTTTTTGTGACTTCAAAGTCTTCAAAGTCTTTCTGGAGATCTAGAATCTGCAATTTCTAAATATTTTGCACAACACATAACGTGTATATAAATTCTGAGTTATCCTGTACCTGTGAACTGATGATGTGAAGTGGATTATTCTGCTCAACAGATGGTATGGATTTTCAAATCCTTTGCTTAACTCACTTGGAGGATACACAAATGGTAGAGAAAGATGGCTCTCACAACTATAGTGAGGTTTTTATGATACATGCTTACTGGAAAAGGTAATTTTACTGAGCCATAGCAAATAAGTATTAAAAAATCTCAATCGATACTATATGGGTCTTTTTCATTATATAGTACAACATAATTTGAAGCTAAAGATTATTTTCCTTGTTAACACAGAGAAGCAACAGTCTGTTTAGCGTATGTACTGATGACCTTTTTCTTAAGATAAAGGTGACAATTGTTCTAAAACAACATCTGAAAAGTTAAGAAAATTACCCCAATACATCAACACACTGGAATAACAGTCACATTACAATATATTATAGACCATGAGGTGGCAAATTTTTTCTGTAAAGGGCTAGATAGTAAATATTTTAGGCTTTGTACGCTACAGTCTCTGCGGCAGCTACTTTGTCCCTGTAGCACAAAAGCAGCCATAGACAATAAGTAAAAGAATGACCATGGCAGTGTTCCAATGAAACTTTATTTATGAACACTAAATATTCACATTAATTTTCATGTGTCATTAAAATCTTTTAAAACACCATTTAAAATTATAAACACAATTCTTAGTTCACAAGCCATAAAAAGCAGGCAGTGTGGACTGGATTTGGCCTGTGGGCAATGGGTGGGTGTTATACAGGCTTTTATGTGTTATGCAAAATGCTTCAAATTCCAGAGACTTTGAAAACTTTCATTTTTAGATTTCTCATTTTAAAATTTATTTCACACAAGTTTTCTTTCTGGATAAATATACTCACGAGAGAAAAATAATTTGGAAAAAAACACAATTCCTCACATAGGAAAAAGAGGAAAGGTGCAAAATGAATGTTTAACCTTAAAACATATAATTAGGAAACATAAAATCAAAAATTGAAATTTTTATTCTATGCAATATAAAACATTATGCATAGATCTGGTACATAATCTTAGTTTTTAATTTAGGAAAAGACTTTTCATAAAAAGTTGCAACTGAAACCAGCACTCACTTGCACACACATCATCAACTCTGAATATAATATGAATTATACCTAGGAATTGAAATTTGCCTAGATGAGTTGTCTGTTTTTTAAAAAATGCACAATTATATCACAGAACACTATGGTTTCTACAGTTTGTGACAATTTTGAAAAGGCAACTCCTGCCTCATAATATAAGGAAACAAGAATATTTTTTTCCATAGTCATCATCCAGTATAAAAAAATTCACAGTCTGATTTACCTTTATCAAAGGTAAAATGATTCACTACTACACTTGCATGGATTATTTTGATCCTCATTAGTTCCTGAACACAAAATAAATTTTGCATAAACTTTTGTCTGTTTGGGTTTTCCAAAGCAAGCCACTAGTATGTTTGTATTAAACTGGCAAAAGTCCATGAGCTAAAGAAAAAGGAAGTGGATATAAAATGTTTACCAACTTTATCCTTTCTAATTTTACAGTAGCTTCAGGTATTGAGACCTAACTGGTTACTTGTGCCTATTCATTATGAACGCAACTCAGTATTTTAGTTTAATACTCCTCAGTGTCATCTTTTGATGGGTTCCTCATTTTGCGACGTATAAGATCATTTCGTCCAACTTCAATCATTTGTTCTTCCCAAGATTTCATCTCATTATCATAACGAATTTTGTCATCTTTAGCAAGTTGAATATATACCTAAGAAAAAGAGAAATGTTCAAATAACTCATTTACAAATGAACAACATACTTCTGGCATGCCTCCATATATACTTCAGAAATTATATTACCATCTTACATGTATAAAGAGGGCCTGGAGAAAGAATATTTCTGTGAGATAAAAGTTAGATGAGAACAAGGTTAATAAGAGACAGAGATTTGTTATCTCTTTGAATAAAGTTTTTACAAGTTCAGATCTTGGGGTATGAGAAGGGGACAGCAGCAAGGTTGACACTAGGCTTAGGAGTGATGTTGTTTCAAATAGAAATTTTATTTACAGCCAAAAATTACTAAGGGAAAAAAGTCAAATTGGTTCTAAGAATAAGCAAGTAATTTTACAATACTTTAGCTGCATTATTAGTAATATAAGCTTGCTTACATATGAATCAAGCCTTGCCCTAATATAGTCTCACAGATATCCTAACTGGACACTTGCGACTAAAAAACATAATACTTACTTGCTTTTGAGAACTAGACAGATTTTTCCAGTTTTCATTTACAGTCTTCAATTTTGCCTGTAAGACAACATATATATTTAAGTGATAGATATGAGACTTCAGTGATTAAAGAAAGATCTTTTTTTATTATTCATTTCAACAACAAAAGCTCAGGTATTTAGAATTACAGGCAGAATCTCATCAATTCTTTAATATCTTTTCTTTCTAAACAAAAACAAGCTGTTAAAATGTATAAAAATTAAGTAAATCAATATACTTTTTTGCTTCGAAAATGTCTGTATTCAGATATAATCCATTTGTTGTCATAAACTAACTTTAAAGACTAAGTGCTTTTATTCCCTCCCTGTAGCTTTATGTTTTTAATTCTAAAATTTGTGTCTAAGTGTTTAGGTGTAGTCATAGAAAAAATACAATGTGAGTCCCTAATTCTACTTAGTCATACTTAATTGTGTGACCTGGAAGAAGTCATTTTATTTTCCTTGGGCTTGGTTCTTCATCTACAAAATTAAAGGGTTAGAAAGATACTTACTTTTACTCCTTCCTAAAATCTCATTAAACAAATAAATTTATTTTAGGCATAAACCCACATGAATAAAGACAACAGGAGAGGGCATTACTAACACAAAATTATGGAAGCTGAAAAGCAGATAAAGTGGTAACTGACTGAACTGACTAAAGAAAGCTAATTTCTAAGGTGGCAGTAGAGAAAACTGAAATGCTACTTTATTTACAATGCGGAATTCCCAATCCATGTGGGAAATGGCAACAGTAAACAGGTGTAAAACAGGTGAAGCTAAGGTTAAACACAGGATTCACTGAAAGACTGTTTTAAAGAGGTAAATTCTCCACTATGCTGCAATTTAGAACATCTATCCTCTCCTGAGAATAGCATCACCCTGAAAACTAGGTACAGGTGAGGGCAATAGTACCATGCTAAAAATGGAGAAATTAAGTTAAAATGCATACAGTATTGGGGGGGGCAAAGAAGGCAACAGCCAAACTGGAACAAGTCAGAGGCTTCAAATGGAAACAGAAGGACTATCTAATAAATCATAAAACATACTGAAAGCTGGTGAATATTGAAGAGTTTGGGGTCAAATTATTAAGTATGCAAAAAAAGGACATAGTCACCTCCAGAGGAAACAACTTTTGCAAGAAAGGAAAAAGTCACAGCATATGGCAAAGCTCAGCATAGGGCATACATAATCATAATATAAACATTTAATACCAAACTAATCAAATTTATGGTAACTACATTAGGAGGTAGGAGAATAGAGACATGCAAACAGTGAGATGAGAGTTAAATGTTCATCTTAAACAGTAGGAGGTAAAGCTTAAAATATAAAATAGACAATGCTCAAAGCCAAAAAAAAAAAACAAAACGAGAAGCAACAACATAAGAATGTTAATTAGAGACATGAAGGTTAATACCACAAGTATCAGCTAAAATAATGAAAAGTATTTCTAGAGTAAGAAATAGAACAGGACAGTGAAAACTGCCACCCTTTAACAAACCTTAAAGTATCATTCTGATTCTTAAACTTTGAGAATGTATAACCAATATTTTTTAAATGAATAAAAACTATGGTCAAGTTATATTTCAATCTCCAGTGATAGGATCCCACCATTAAGCATCCTGGGTGATTCCAAGGTATAGTCAGATTTGAGAAGCACTGATTTGGGATTCTTTAACATATAATCTACCCATGCTGGTAAGAAAACTCCACAGGCTTGCATCTCAGTAATGCAGAGCCATAGAAACTGAACTTAAAATCCCAAGGGGAGTAATTAAGTATGTCACACATGTCTCTGTATGTGTGCATTTTTTATATATATATAAAAAATAAAAATTAAAAAAATTTTAATACAAAAAATTAAAATTACATATATACACACAAAATATATATTATTTAATTACATGTTAAACAAGATTTGTAAGATGAACGACAGATAACTATAAACTACAAATAACCCCAAAGCAGTGCCAAAAACTTTGTTTCAGATATTAATATCCACTTCTTTTACCATGTCATATTATACAAGAAAAAAAAACTATCCATCTGGAGCTGCTAAGAAATAAAAAATAGGAAAGGCTATGCCGCAATAGTGACTGACAAGTTTTTCTTTAACACATTCATATGACAATCACATGTATAACACATTTATTAAAAGATACAACATGAGGCAGGCTTGGTGGCTCAGCCTGTAATCCCGCGACTTTGGGAGGCTGAGGTGAGTGGATTGCCTGAGCCCGCGGGTTCGAGACCCGCCTGGGCAGCGAGACCTCATCTCTACAATAAATCAAAAAATCAGCTGGGCGTGGTAGCGCATGCCTTTAATTCCGGCTACTTGGAAGGCTGAGGCGGAAGGATCGCTGGAGCCCAGCAGGTCGAGGCTGCGGTGGCCGGGAGCGGCCACTGCACTCCAGTCTGGGTGACAGAGTGAGACTCCCAACTCAAAAAAAAAGATACAACACGAAGCAATAGGTTATATTCAATTTCCAGCAAAAATATTGTAGCTCCACTCTCATTCTTTCCAGTGATTTAAAAATGGTTATGAACTGCTGGAGTAGAAAAGTCTCCAGAAGAACTTTAACATCCCTAAAAATTAGAAAATATTATGTTTTTTAAATTTAAAAAGCTGGTAATGTATGATTGGGCAACAATATACTCAAGTTAATCATATGTGGTAAGAAAAGGACTTTTCCTTAATAGATCCAATAAAGAGGGCCTTATCAAAAGAGTTTAATGCCTATAATTCACTACTTTTACAGCACGCTAGAATCTCCTGTCTAAATATTTTAAAACTTAGGCCAGGTGTGTGGCTCACACCCGTAATCCCAGAACTCTAGGAGGCTGAGGCAGGAGGATTGCTTGAGCCCAGGAGTTGGAGACCAGTCTATGCAACATAGTGAGATCTCATCTCTACAAAAAAATCAAAAAATTAGCTAAGCGTGGTAGAGTATACCTCTAGTCCCTGCCAAGTGGGAGGCTGAGGCAGAAGGATCGCCTGAGCCCGGGACATCAAGGTTGCAGTGAACTGTGATCATGTCAGAGCACTCCAGTCTGGTTGACATAGTAAGATCCCAACTCAAAAATTAAAAAAAAAAAAATTAAATTAAACAAAATGTATTTCAGCTTTACCTGTGATGAACCATCCTTAGCTTCTTGGAAGCTTTCAGATACAAAAATGTTATAGGCTGAGCGAGGTCTTTTTGGTTTTCCAAGCATTGTTAACTCCTAAAAAAAACGGAAAGATCAGATATAGTTTTAACCTCCATGAGACATACCTATAGAAATGTTACTCACTACTATGCATTATAGAATGTTCCTTAAAGTGAATGCTATGGTTCTTATATGAACTATTTGAGTATAACATCTTGGGGTTAGAGTTTTATAACACTAAATTTTGAAAATTGTACTAGACTTCATGAGCTATTTTCCATTGAAAATCATTTCCTTTAATATTATTTTCATGGTGTTTATGGACTGAACAACTGAGCACATATGTACAAAACCTTTTTGAAAGATACAACAATCCCAGTTTCTTTTTTTCTTTTTTTTTTTTTAGTTGGAGTCTCACTCTATTGCCCAGACTGGAGGGCAGTAGCACGCTCACAACCACCACAGCCTCAACCTGCTGGGCTCAGGCAATCCTTCCGCCTCAGTCTTCCAAGTAGCTGGAACTACAGGTGCATGCCCCCATGCCCAGCTGATTTTTAAAATTTTATTGTAGAGATGAAGCCTCACCAGGTTGCCCAGTCTGGTCTCAAACCCATGGGTTCAGGCAATACTCTGACATGGGCCTCTCAAAGTGCTAGGATTATAGGTGTGAGCCACCGCGCTCAGCCTCCAGTTTCATTCTTGCAGGAAACTACAATGCCATTGACCAAATCAATTCATGAACACTAGACTATCTGTTTAATAATCTCTTATTGCATTCCCTTTCCTGAATGTCTCAATTTTAAAGCTCAACAGATGTGTTAAATTCAATTTTTAGTAGGTACCAAAAGGGAAGAAGAAATTATGGAAAAGAAAACAAGTATCCCTTATTATCTAAATTAGTTTAGTTTCTGAGTTCAGAGAGTGTGGGATACTACATTATCCTATTTAGTTTCTGAAGCTGGATACTAAGTAGTACTTGAAATTTATAAAATTCTGTGACTCTTGACAGCAATTTGGTTATAAAATGTAAAAGCAGGGCTCCTCCAATTTACATCTAAAGATCACTTTCTTCTTCCTGAATCTCTCAAAGTCACTTAGTATTGAAACTCCAGGCACCTTAAAATTTGACTATTTCTCCCTTTTTTCCCTGTACCACTAGGGATTTCTCTCCAGTGTGTTTTACTTGCAACTTCCTGATCCCATCTGATCTCTGAATGAATTGGTACTGGGGAGCCTTTGATAGTAAGAACAATCCCAAAAGGGAGTGAGAATGAAAAGGGAAACCCCTTATATCTGCCAATCCTCATTTCTAGTACTCTCCACTCTTAGCATAGTCTGGGTGCATTAAGGATAGAGAGTAAGGGAACTATTAGTAATCACCCTTTCAAAAACCATCCTTATGCATTGTTTCTCACTCTCTTCTGGCTCCCTTTTACTAATTGAATCAGTAGCCCTAAATGATCATCGTGGACTTGAAACTGAATGATGCCTCAACCCTAGTGCTAGGAAACATTAGGATCAGACAGAGATATCTTGGCATCTCACATTCAAGGGTGGGATCTAGTGTCTCAGAGAAACAGTTTTAACTCTGATGACCATTTTCTAATAGCATATATACTGGACTAGCAAAAAGACCACCTCATGACTAATACTGGCTCTACAGGGAAAAATGTAGTCTAACTTTCAAACAATAGCACTTATGTGGATTAATACTTTAAGCTGGAAACAACAAATTTTGAACTATGTCAGGTTTTTAATAGTTATTTCTTTGGGGGAAAAAAAGAATTGCATCCTAAAGGCACTTCTTGTTTGATTAATAAATTGGCACTTTTCCTGATGTGTTAACTAATTTAGTTGATTCAGCAATATTCAGTATCAAACTCATCATTACCTACAGAACAATTCAAATCACTAGGTTATTCTGACAAGACTCAGAAGCAGACTCTTGCTATTCCTAGTTAGGCTGTTTCATACCTATGTTCCTGTAGTTTCATTCCAGCCCTACTCATTACATATCTTAAATGGGGATACATCTGAAAGTAGCAACAAGGATGTCCAAGACATACTCAGTGGCAAGTGGTCCTAGTGGCTATCCCATTTTTTGCCTAACTAAAATATAACTAATGACATTCTACTATTTCATATCTACACATTATCATTAAAATAAGGGAAGACTACCAATATTCATAGTTAAATAAATTTCAGTTATTTGCCATAGGAAAAGAGTATTTCAATGATACTCACTCTCTTTTTTATTAATGCTTTCTTTTTTAAACGTTTCTGCATGATTTCTTTTTCCAAAGATAATATCTGACTAGGAGTTAGTTGTTCTTGAATTCTGTTTACTTCTTCTTTGTATGCCTGCCAGTCTGCCCTGTAAGCATCTTCATATATCTAGAAATTAAAAAAACCCAAGTAAGTTAATAAACTGTTGCTGGAAAATTCAACACAGCACATCTGCCAGAGAAAGAAACATACACGACTTCAGATAAAGAAAGACTGAACCACCAAGTGGAAAACGTCTTCTGAAATAAGATGTATATAGATTAGTGCTGGGCTCGGTGGCTCAGCCTGTAATCCCGCGCCTTTGGGAGGCTGAGGTGAGTGGATTGCCTGACCCACAGGTTCGAGACCCGCCTAGGCAACTTGGCGAGACCTCATCTCTACAATAAATCAAAAAATCAGCCGGACGTGGTAGCGCATGCCTGTAATTCTGGCTACTCAGAAGGCTGAGGCGGAAAGATCACCGGAGCCCAGCAGGTCGAGGCTTTGGTGGCCGGAAGCGGCCACTGCACTCCAGTCTGGGTGACAGAGTGAGACTCCAATTCAAAAAAAAAAAGATGTATATAGATTAAATATATGTATTTTCCAAATATGTTAACCAAGATGAAAGTCTAGCAGTTAGCCTCCATTTAAAAATTGCTGCCAAACCTTCACCTCCATCCGTATTTTCACATTTATGTGAATCAGAAGGCAAAACATTCCTTTGTAGATCACAAATATTGGGTCCAGTTCATCTGGTCCTTTAAAACACATGACAATTGCTCTTAATTGCAGAAAAACTGGTCAGCAATGTTGAAATTCTTTGTGCTTACTTTTTTCTCTGAATCAGGAAGTTCTCTCCATATCTCAGCGATTCTTTTAATTAGTTCTGAATTTTTTGCATCTATAGATTGGAATAAAATGAAAAAGATGTCATAATTTTATGTTTCGGCAAAAATTTCTAATGATTTCCAGGAAAACACAATCCATATGAATAATTGAATACAGCAATTTAACTTTTCTTTATCCAACTAATTTAAATATAAGTAATTTATCCAACATTGGTAAAAGTCCATTATCTAAGGAGTATATCACATAGCACCAAAAACAGTCCACAGGATTTGATTATTAGTTTAAGCAGCTGGGTAATCAACTGATTCAAGTTTTTTACTTCCACATTTCAGTCAAAACATTTTTCAAGTATTTGAGGAATTAAGTTCATTAAAACCTGATTAAACAACAAAATACAGTCTGGTTCATATATAACACCACCTTGCATTTCAATCATAGAAATACACTTGGAAACAAACTATTCTAAAGTCAATTCATTATCCTCCATTTCCTTCCTCATCTTAACAGGAATGATGGGGTATGCAACTGATTTAACAAACCACTTGTTAGTACCAACTCTTACATTTAAAGATGTGAATACTTAAGCATATCTCTGAAACTAATTCCTTATTTATAATGTGAGCATTTTTATTATAGCTCATTTGATTTTCATAAGTGTCCTGTGATGCATTCCATGTAAAAGGACCTTAGTAATCATAAGCAAAGATTAGCTATTACTTTTACACTCCAACCCAAAAAGAAAGTCCTACAGTCTTTCTAGGAAGTTAAAAAATCTATTTTTCAGGAACTCAAGACAAGAAAGGATTTTCACTCTTGAAATCCGCAGTAATTTGCATAGAGCCTTAAAGTTTACAGAACACTTACACAGAAGTTATTTTTTGCAACTTCAGTAACAATTCCCTAAGGTAGAAGGAGAAGTTAAGCAAGAAATAAAATAATTCATCTGTGATCCTACTGGCCAAAGTCAACTAGGCCCCAAGTGCAGCTTTTTTATTCTTTTCCCTTCCACACTATATGCTATTTTTAAAATACCTTTCATTAGTTCTCATTATATTTAAAATATTGCTATTTGGTATAAGATGCTACACTTCCTATTTTACAGTCTGACAAACAAAATGATTGTTCCTGCAGACACTGAATGCCTTTTGGTAGTGCAAATCAAGTTTTTTATTTAACTGCTTAGTGGCCTTTATATTACCTCAGAAAAAGTACACATCCCAAAACTCCTTACCTGGGTCCTGAGCTTTAAATATTGGGTAGCTGTTCTTTAGTAAATCGAAGGTAAGAAGTCACTGGTTTCTTTGGATAACTAGCCAAGGCGGATGGAAACCATTTCGGTAAGTACACATCCCAAAACTCCTTACCTGAGTCCTGAACTTTAAATATGGGTAGCTGTTCTTTAGTAAATCGAAGGTAAGAAGTCACTGGTTTCTTTGGATGACTAGCCAAGGCGGATGAAAACCATTTCGGTAAGTCCACATCCCAAAACTCCTTACCTGGGTCCTGAGCTTTAAATATAGGTAGCTGTTCTTTAGTAAATCGAAGGTAAGAAGTCATTGGTTTCTTTGGATAACTAGCCAAGGCGGATGAAAACCATTTCGGTAAATACACAAAACTACATACAAATAAAAAGACAATAATCAATGTTAGGAAATTTAACTTTCAATATTTACAGGTACATAAACATAGATCCCAAATAAGATGTCATCAAGATGCTATACATCTGACACCTTCAACAAGAATGCTAATGCCATTTGACACCCTATCGTGACCAGAGGGAAGAGCCTGACGGACTGAAGTCTCAAAAGTCCCTACCTCCTTAGCAAGGGCACTCCGAGTGAAGGAAAGCATCTATACTGCAGCTTCCGGACCCCGCCCCCTCCATGCCTAGATGATGGCGGGAGAAACTGCGCGACTCCAAAAGAGGGCGCCGAACAGGTGCTCCGAGGCTGGGCAGTGAGGAGGGGTGAGGGGAGGAGGTGGAGAGAAGCAGGAAGCAAGGTCCGGGGTATTAAGGGAGTAAGGCCTGCTTTCAAAGCCACCTTGGCAAGGTCGAGGTCTCCATCAATGGGCCAGGATGGCTCTGAACTCCGAGGAGGAGCAGAGAGTGGAGCAGAGCGTCTACATCCCAGCCCCGGGACGCCCTGGGCCCCGAGTGAGGCACAGGTAAGGTCCTACCTAAAGGGTAGGCGAATTCGACTTCCACACTCAGCGCACAGCTCGGCTCCGGACCTTCCCAGGGCACTCAGCACGCCCCACATGCTTCGGAGAAGCGCCATCGCACCAGCAGACAAGGCAGTGGCCGGGCCCCAAATTCGCAGAGCCTCCCGGCACAGCAAGACAACCCCCACAATGACAAACCGAAGCGGCGTGCAGTCCTCCTAATCTTGTTATCATGCCCGCCACTCGCGAGGCACTATGGGAAACTAGCTAGCATCCGGTAGGCAGGCAGGGGGCGGGGGGGGGGGGTCAGGCAGAGTTGGCGCAGGCGCCGTAGTGAGCCCCTCGGTGGGCGGGACTGCCTGGGAGGAAGAGAAGCGCCGGGGCCGAGAAGGGAAACCTCTCCCTGCTCGTCTGCGGAAGGCCTTGGCCTCGAGGGGGCGCTGCGAGCCACCTCTGGCCCCGGTCGCCCCCTGCAGTCAGGTCTTCTGCGGGGCCAGGATGGAGGGACCGCGGCGGCCTCAGTCCGACTGGGCGCTGGCAGGCGGCCGCGGGTGACGACCCGAAAGGTTGTACGTAACAGACAGCCTTCCCACGAGGACTCGGGACCGCTCTGCAGCCAGCGCGGCCCCAGGTCAGGTTGGCGGGTGCTGCGCGCCCAGCGGAGCCCCTCGGCCCAAGCCAGGGCTGGAGCTCAGAGCTCAGAAATTGCGCCCAGAGAGCGGGGAATTCGTAAACCTAAAAATGCAGACTCCAAGGCCACAGTGCTTAAATTCGGTGTGCCTGGGCGGGACTCTTGAATCTGCATTTTTAACAAGTTCCCCAGCGTATAACAAGTTCTAATGTTGGCGGTCGTGGGATCGCACTGAAAGCGATGTGGGTTTAGACGATTCTTCCATCTCTTGCAGTCTTCGTGTCTGACCTCCAGCCTGCTTAATTTGAGCAGAGGAGACTGGCTAATTTGTTGTCTGCAGGCTGTAGCCTAGTTCTAGTCTCGGTTCTAGTCCCAACATTAACATTAACGTCTTCACCTGGAGATGTCTCATCCGCCCAGGAAGATTCAAGCTTCCCTCTCTGCAAATGAGAATGTTGGACTAGATCAAAGTTTTCCCAACCAAAGACTTGACAACATGTGAGAAGTACACCTTGAGATATTGATTGATATGCTGTACAATTTTTGACTTGTTTTGTAGAAATACCATTTCCTGTACAGGCAACGACATGAAAAAGATTAGGAAGTTCTAAAGATATCTAAGGGCCCCTTCCAGATCTTAAATACTAGTGATTTCATAGATAACCACCTCCTGAGACAGCCTTTCTTCTGTTGCCTAACCAAAACTGTTAGAAAATCTTACCAGTGTAGTATTCTGTAGTTTAAAAACACTGGCCTTCTGGGGATGCAAAGGACTAGCCTACTTTTTCTTTTAAGTGCTAAGTAATGATCATCACTTCCCTTGTCATAGACTCTCAGGGTTGAAAGGGACCTTCCAGGTATTCATTCCCTGAGTATATATGCTATGTACAAGACCCTAAACGTGGAGATAGATGAAAGACACAAAGGTATGCCCCCACCCCAGAGAGATGCAAAGAAGTAAAAAATTTCAGCAGAGTGCTAAGATAGAAGTTATATTTCAGGTGATTGCTAAAATGATTTGTTTCCTCTCTATTTTTCCGGAATGTTTTTGTTTTTTCAGATGTTTGACATAAAGTTAAACTTCTTTTGGATATTTTTAAAAACCTTAGCTGGCCACGGTGACTCACGTTTGTAATCCCAGCACTTTGAGAGGCTGAGGCAAGAGGATTACCTGAGCCCACGGGTTCAAGACCAGCCTGGGCAACATGACAAGACCGCATCTCTATAATAAATCAGAAAAATTAGCTGAACGTGGTGGCGCACGCCTGTAGTTCCAGCTACTTGAAAGGCTGAAGCGGAAGGATCGCCTGAGACCAGCAGGTTGAGGCTGCGGTGACCGGGAGCCACACTGCACTCCAGCCTGAACGACAGAGTGAGACTGACTCAATAAATAAATAAATAATCTTGTTTTTAACTGTCATTTTGATCAATCTTGCCATAAAGTTTTTATAAATCAAATCTATAACATTTCTGTTTTCTTCAGATACCAATCTTCCTTAAAAGTAATTTAATTGCAGTGATAATTTTCTTCTAAAAGCAATATTTACAAAGAAAACATACCTCTGCCTACTTACTCAAGCTGTCTTTGAACATTTCTTTATAAAACATGAAGACTTATTACAGCCTTTCCAAGAGTTCTGCCTCATTATTTTGTTTTAAAAGTTTATTCACTCCCATGACTTCAACTCTCAGTTATAGCCTCATTATTCCCATATTTTAAATTGAATTCAGACCTCTCCTTTTAGGTTTTTTTTGTTTTGTTTTGTTTTTTTGAGTCAGAGTCACACTCCATCACCCAGGCTGGAATGCAGTGGCACACTCACAGCTACCCCAGGCCTGCTGGGCCCAGGCCATTCTTCCACCTCAGCTGGAATTAGAGGTGCATGCTACCACACCCAGCTAATTTTTTGATTTACTGTAGCTATGAGATCTCTCCAAGCTGCCCAGGCTGGTCTCGAACCCGTGGGCTCAGGCAATCCTCTCACCTCAGGCTCCCAAATGCTGGGATTATAGGCTTGAGCCACTGCGCCCAGCCTCTCCTTTTAGTTTCATATTCATGTAACCACTGTCTTCTGGATATCTTCACCTCCATGTGCTACAGATACTTCAATATCAACTTTCCCTGAACAGAATTCACTGTTTTGACGCTCGTCTTGAAATTCTTCTTAACAAGAGGCATGCATTTCCCACTTGAATCATCCAAGACAATAACTTGAGAGGTCATTTCAGAATCTACCCATGGATGCTCCACACCCATCAACCAACTACTGATTCTACTTCATTACTTCTGCTAGTATGTATTCCCTCCTCTCCAGTCCCCTTGCTGTTGCTTTTATTCAGGCCAGTAATATACTGGTAAATTGCTCTCTGAAAAAGAAAGCCCTAACTTCCTGTGTGCGTTGAGTTCTATGGCATAAATACTCCCACCACATCTGATTTCAGGCTACCAGCTTGAAGTCACTGAACTTGAAATATGAGAAGAGATGAACACAATCAGCTCTCCGAGCCAGTACCAGCCGGCTCCTATAGCCATGGGTTCAGGCTCTGCCATCTTTTCCCAAACTCAGTAATTTTTACTACTTCTAGTCTTACTTCCCTCCAAACCATATTCCACAGTTACCAGGTCAATCTTTCTAAAAGACAAATCCCATTCATTCATTTACTGATCAGGTAGGCAATGATCACATTTCTGTATTTGAAACAATCAGTGGTTCTTGATTGCCCACAGAATCAAGTTTAGATTCTTGTACATGGCATACAAGTCCCCTGTCAACTGGCCTTTTTGTTTCTTCTATAGCTCCCTCACTTTACTTTTCTTGAAATAATTTATGATTAAAATACATATTTCTTCTTCTGACTTAGAAGATACATCCAATCACTTCATCTGGCTCTGAGTTTACCATTGCTTTTTGTGTGATATACCAAAGTACAGTAATGAAAATTCCTAGATAAGAATACAGGCTTAGAAGTAAGACAGATCTGGGTTCAAAGTCTGCTCGTTACTTACTAGATGTGTGACACTGCCAATGACAGTCTCTCTGACACAGAGTTTTTCCTCTTATAAACTGGTAAATAGTTGATTCTTAGGATTATTGTGAAGATTAAATTATACAGTATATAAAAAGGTTCTTAGCAGAGTCCCTGGGACATCATAAAGGCTTAGTACATAAAAGCTATTTTTATCCTTATATTTTCATAAGAATTATTACTAGTTCCTAAATAATTATAGCCATAATATGGATTATCCCCAAGTAAAAAATGTTAGACTTGCATCAGAGCAAGTCTAACATTTCTCTATTAAATTACATATATACGTACATATTAAATAACCAGCATTGCTCCTGTTTTCCTTTTAAACTTTTAAGATTTCCTTTTCCCCCTAAACATTGCCATAAGTAGAGCTTTTAAATTGCTTAAATTCATAATATCTGTGCACAGACATTGTGGTAGCTGATAAAAATTAAAACAACACACCCGTAAGTTGGATTACAGTTTAATGTTTTCAGAACATTTTTATATAATTTTGATCGTAGGGTCCACAAATTAAAAAAAAAAAAAAAAAGGGAAGTTGTCATGATCATTGCTCTCAATTTTCAGATGAAAAAAATGAAGTTCAGAAAGCTCAAGTCATAAGGTTCCAACAGTTAGTAAGCAGTGTAGGTAAAAACCTGGTCTTCCAATTCATTGTCCTGTGCTTTTCCCATTTTTTTCAGATCATCACTTGGACTCTGTCCACACACATTTTTCCAGTCCCAAATATCTTCCTTGGATCTTCTTGTATGACTTATTGTAAGTTTTCATATAGCATTCTAGTTTCTTGTTTTTTTTCTTGTGTATACATACATCTATATATTTTTTTCTCAGTAGATGGTAAGTTACTTGAAGACAGGACTAGGTCTTGTGCCTCCTTTTATCTCTTACAGTACCTAGCACAGTACATTGAGCAGAATAGATGGATAGACAGATGGAAGATGAACAGGCAGACAGATAGATATGTGAAAAGATTAGCATCTGCGCATATTATTGATATGTAAATTCGTCCATATGAAATAACTACCTGTTAGAGGCATTGCTTGACAACAGAAGGGACAGTTCTGTGTGAATGTGGAAACCCTGTAAAATTTTGGAATACATATATGAAAGTAATGATTATGGTTCATTAATACTTGCACACTGGCAAAGCTGAAAGTAGCACCAATAAATAGTAACAGCATCCAGAAGCCTAGATAATCCCCGAATGAATAATGGAGTTATATGCATGGATAGCACACAAATGAAGAAAAAATATTGCTAGGACAAAGCAGTTTTGCTTTGGTGATTATAATGGTTAAATAATATAACTACAATAGGAACAATCACCTAATTGGTCTAGCATGATAAATAGATGTGATTCGGAACATACAAGTAAAATATATTTCTGAAAGTAACATCATACTGTAAAAATCACATTTAAAAATAATTTACTCATTAGTAATTACATAGCACTATGACAGGCACTGGAAGGGCAAACAGAATCTCCCAAAGAGCTTACATTCTGATAGAGGGAACAGAGTATAAACAGATACAAA